CACTGTAAACACCTACTGTATTCGACAATTTAAGGAAATTGCACGTTTTTTATATATATATATTAAAACCATCTATAATTGACTTTAATGTTAATAAACATATAATATAACAAACACTCTTAACTTTAAACCCAAAACTGAAAAAAATACACGTTATTGAAATGTAAAATACCATCAAAAACTGGGCTGCATATAATACTATGTGCTGATACTGTGTGTGTGTGTTCGCTCCCAGGCTGATCATACGCAGGGACCACCTTCTGGAAGACGCCTTTAACCAAATCATGTGCTACTCCCGTAAAGACCTGCAGAGGAGTAAACTCTATGTCAGCTTTGTAGGCGAGGATGGGTGAGGATGACCTTTTCCTTTCATTTCCTTATCATGCTGTAGACAGTGCAAATGTGAAATGTGTGTATTTCTCACAATCAATTATTCAATCTGGAGCTTCACATCTTATCATTGCACAAACCTTGATAACATCACAGACTTTCCACCATCTTGTGGTGTATTAGCAGCTGGTGCAAGTGGGCGGGGAAAACAAGCTCTTTATGCAGATGATTGACAGCATGTTTACAGTGATTTTATTCGTGGTGGAATGAGATATTGATATGATGATGTATGCTTTGCTGTCATTGTATAATGACTCATCCTTTTATTGTCCCAAATGCCCAGGAGCAGATGATTGTGGGGGTGTATCTTTGCTGAAACAACAACCAGTTGTCCAGATTTTGCTTTGAATATTTTCATCCAAAGCAAAATCTTGGACATGAATGACATACTGTTCCTTTAATCGGTTTGTGTGACCGAGCTGCAGTCGCTGATGAATGTTCACTGCTTCACTTCTCCTACTGACGTGTATTTAATGTACATGTGTTGTGATTTTTGTTTTGCAGACTGGACTACAGTGGTCCCTCCAGAGAGTTTTTCTTCTTGGTGTCCAGAGAGCTGTTCAACCCATACTATGGCCTGTTTGAATATTCAGCCAATGACACGTACACAGTGCAGATCAGCCCCATGTCAGCCTTTGTAGACAACCACCACGAGTGGTGAGGATCTCATATGTTTGCGCTGCCGATACAGTATCAGTCTGCCTGTCTGTCTATCCACCACATATTTGTTGAAGCTACATTTGCTGCTGTGCTGACTGTAAAGTTCAATTTAGCTGCTCTGACTGCTGTTGTGTTCCGATCCCAAAATAGAAGCAATTCTGTGGACATTTGGATCAGCAGTCCATGGCTCACCAGTCAATTTTTGCCTTAGAGACAGTGGTTGGATGGACAGATGGATTGATAAAAGATGGATGATCAGAGTGATAAATGGATGGACAGAAAACAACACCGGATAATTATAATACCTAGACTGGATGAAGAAGATAACAGATGTGGGTATTTAAGGTTGTCACATCATGGCAGAAACAAGTACAACCAACCAACGTCCATCCATATGAATCAGCAGAAAGAATAGAGTGAACCTCTGCTACTGCTACTCAGAGCAGGCGTCATTGCCTGATCCGATGCTGGCTCATGTATTCTCCTGTGTTTCCTGTGCTGGGTCTAGGTTTCGCTTCAGTGGGCGAATCCTGGGGCTGGCCCTTGTCCATCAGTACCTGCTGGATGCCTTCTTTACCCGACCCTTCTACAAGGGGCTTCTTCGCATGTACGTCCCTCAGCCTGCTTCCCTCTGTAGTTCCTGTCCCTTTATAATTTGCAGGGCACCACTTCCACTTAGATCCTAGATCTTAGATTCAACTTAGGGTTTGGGTTAGATGACAGATGTTTTTGTAATAAT